CTCCTCCTGGTGCATCTATGCAATGTACAAAGGCAGATGGGCCCTGCTGGGTGTCATTCGCATCTGGCCCTCACTTCCCAAAAGTCAGAGTTGCCAGCTGCCCAAAGCACTGTCCTCCTACTGTGCTTTACCTTCACCTTTCCCGCTTTGCACTAGCTACAAGGAGTCTCCTCTCACGGGTGGGGCCCAGCCTCTGAGCACACTCCTAGCTACAAGGGGGTCTCCTATCACGGGTGGGGGTCTCCTATCACAGGTCTCCTACCACGGATATCTGTGGTCCCACACCTGGGTTGCCGTCCTGCTCTGAGGCAAGCCCACACCTGCTGGGGGCGCCAGGGCTTCCTGGCTCAGGTGGCTGTCCACCCTGGGCCCCTCTGTCTGGCATGGCAGCTCTCCTACTGAGCACACTCCTGCCTGTAAAAGTGTTGTTCGCTGGTAGGGTGGCCTCTGGCTGCCCTCAGTTCTCCACTCAAACACCTCCTTCCCACCTGAGTCCTTCCCCATCCAACAGGCATACAACAGTGCCGAGGCAATTTGGCCAAAGCATGCTCTATTCCTTTGCTTCTGTATGCACTAGAAATCCAGGCAGCCCTCCATATCCACGGGTCGCATATCCACACATCCTACATATGCAAATTCAACCAAAGGAGCAGATACTCTCCAAAAACTGCATCTGCACTGAACATGCACAGGCTGTCATCCCTAAACATAACAGCATGACAACTCCTCACCAAGCATATACCTTGCATTAGGTATTTTAAGTTTCACAGATATCTTAAAGTACACGAGAGGATGGACAAACCACACTAATTTTAAAAGGATCTATTTATTTATTTGAAATGCAGAGTTACAAAGGTAGGGGTGGGAGAGTCACAGAGAGAGATCATCAACCTAGTGATTCATTACCCATATAGCCCAACTGGCCAGAGCTGGGCCAGCCCCAAACCAGGACTCAGGAGCTTCTTCCCAGTTTCCAACATGAATGCAGGGGTCCAAGCACTAGGGTCACCTTCTGCTTCTTTACCAGGCACATGAGCAGGGAGAGCTGGAGTGGAAGTGGAGCCGCTGAAATTCAAATGGTACCCCTGTGGAATGCCAGTGTCACGTATTCACTAAGCTACAGCACCAGCCTCAGCACACTGTTTTAAATGAGGGACTTGAGCATCTGGGAATTTTAGCATTGGGCTGAACAGAAGTGGGGGAAGGAACCAACAAGCTGGTTGAGCCCTAGGCTGTACCAGGGCAGCCATCCTTGTGGCCATGTGACCCCTTCCCTAAGGGAGGAGACCCAGCAGCAGCTGGAACTCAATTCTGTGACCAGGACCCTGTGTCATGGCACATTGCTAGAAAAAAAAAACCATTCTGTGAAATTCCATGTAAGCAGCGAAAATTTGGATATTCAAATCAAAGTCATGAGGGTGATGGGCATTTGACCTGCAGTTGACTACCGGTTAGGATGCTGGCATCCCATATCGATGTGCCTAATTCCAACTCTTGGATCCAGGTTCCAACACCAGCTTCCTGCTAATGCAGACACAGGGAGGTAAGAGATGACAGCTCAAGCACCTGGCTCCCGCCACCTGTGCGAAGAGATGCAGGCTGAGTCTGTGGCTCCGAGCATCAGCCTAGCTTAGCCCTGGATGTTGAGGGCACTGGGAGAGTGGACCAGTGGGCAGGAGCACACACTCCCTGTCTCTCTCCTTGTGTCTCTCTTTGCGTCTCTACTTTTCAGATAAACAAACCTGGGTATAAAGTGCCTACGAATGAATGGAGCTGGTCTCAAACATCAGCCCCGCCCCTTGGCCTAGCCATGCTCAGACCGATGTGTAGCCAGGATCTGTAGGAGTTCCCTGGAGCCCGGAGAGAAGCACACACCAATACTCGCAAAGGGGAGGAGCATGTTGGACTTGAGAGTCCCTGTATTCACTGACAGACATTGTCTCATGGTAGAAGCACCACGAGCCCGGGCCTCATGGGGACCAGCTGTTAACTTGCCACTTCTGCACAAGTGCACGCTCCGTGTGCAAACACTTAACAAGCCAACCCAACACGTCCTTCTGAGAGGACGGCCCACATGCCCAGAGACAGCAGGTTCGTGCCCCAGGAAGACACTGTGCTGTGGGGTGCAATCACAGGTCACAGGGCTGGCCAGGATGCTTCCATGGCATTTCCTCTGTTAAATGCCCCATGCAGGGTCTGCTGCTGTAGTGCAGATGCACAAACTGCTGCCTGCAAGAGCGTCATCACACAAGGGCAGCAGTTTGAGTTCTGGCCACTCCACTTCCAATCTAGTCGCCTGGGAAGTACACCTGGGAGGGCAGCGGGAGAGCCTGCGTGCCACAGCGTCCTTTTAGGGAGTGAATCAGTGGATGAAGTCCACTGGGGGTGTGCATGCATGTGTCTGCCTCTCTCTTTATCTCTGCTTTCTATCAATACATCTCTCCAAGAAACCCAAGAGATTCCCTGGCAGTGAACATTCCCAGTGGTATTGACAACAGAAAGACATAAAGCAAGGAAAAGACAGGACAGTTCTGCCTGCACATGCTGAGCTGCATGGTTGGTGTGTTCTCACCTCCTCCTCAAGACAATACTGAGCAGGGTCACTCTTAGCCCTGAGGGTCCACAGCAGGAACACGGAACCTACTGCTCCCACGTCTCATCAGTACCCTGCTACAGTGAGGCCTGAGTTGAAGGCTGCTGCTCACACATGGATCCCCAAGGACATCTGGCAACAGTCCAAGCAGGGCTGGCATGTGGGCAGAGAAGGAAGGCAGCCAGGAATGCCAGTGTCTGAGAGCCCAGCACGTGCAGAAGACAAGTGGACAACTGCAGCAGAGGATGGAGCGAGACCACCGTCCAAGGAGATCTACTGGGGGACTCGGCAGACAGGCAGAAGCCCAGGCCCCTCACCCTTGAGAGTCCCCTGGGCTGTGGGTCTTATAATTATTGTGGGTGTGAGTTGGTGGGGGGAGATGTGCTCTGAGGGCACATGAGCTGTTAGTCAGTGCAGGGGGACATGGAAGCTCAGGGTTTGTATTAACACACATTCTCAGGAAAGCAGAGCTGAACCTGGGCCCTGGTGGGGTGCAGTCGCTGCGCCAAGAACAATTTTCCAAAAGACATTTATTTATTTGAAAGGAAAGAGTGCATCAGGGACAGATCTTCCATCCATCCACCAGTGTACTTCTCAGTTCCTTCAACAGTGAGGTGAGGGCAGGCCGAAATCAGGCACCAGAGATTCCGTCTGAATCTCCCACCTGGGGAGCAGGCACACACTCCTTGAGCCATCATCTTGAGCATCCGCCATAGGTCATTCACAGAAAGTTGGAATCAGAAGCACAGTCCAGACTGGAAGCTAGGAACTATGAAATGGGTCACGGGTGCTGCAAGCGGCAACAGCATGACCATGGTGCCAGAGGCCCACCCGCAGGAACAGATAACTCTTATTTCAAAAGTTAACTTATAGACAGTAGACAAATGTCACCTCTATTGCCACACAGATCTCAAAGGTACAGCTGCTCCCCATAGGAGCCTGTAATCAGCCATCCCCACCAGTGGAAAGCCAGCAAAACCTGCCAGTTAGACTGTGCTATTTTGGGTTCATTTCACACACCAAGATGCACAGTCCCATGACTTTTGTGTAGGAAATTATTGTTGAGTGGTTGGTAGAAGTCCAAGCTGTAGGGGAAAATCGGCTGGTAGATGCTTCTACTAAGGGAAAAATGTCCTTTTGCACACCCTGGCTGGGACGACATCCGCTAAACACTCCCCTTTCAGCCACTCACAGGTGGCGAGTTCATTAGTCTTGATTTTTGAAAAGAGTAATATTATGCAGAGACCAAGTGGTTGACACTGCTGGGGATGCACAGTTTTCCTTCTTACAAATGTGAGTCTTGGGAGGCAGCAGGTGGTGGCTCAGTTAGTGGGCTCTGCCACCTGTGTGGGAGACCGGGCTGAGTGGCTCCTCACTTGGGTTTGGTCCACCCCTGGCTGTGCTGGCCCAGGAGGACGAACTAGCAGCAGGGAAATCCCTCCGCCTTTTCTAAATGTAAGAAAAGCACTGCATGTAAGACCATTTGTGAAGTAAGATGGACTGTGAGAAAGCATAAGGAATATTCTAAATCCATGGGTACTCAGAGAGGACCGTTTCATTTTAGGAAAAACTGACGAAGACAGCTTGGTCTTATCAATGTGCCCAGGCAGGAAGCAAGGTTGCCGTTTCTGGTTCAATCTCCAATGCTGGGGTGAAACAGTTCTCCAGGGGAGCGATACTGAGCAGTGACAAACACCAGTGAGCATTTATCTTGGCAGCAGCAGCTCCCCCTCATGCTGCACGCTGGCCAGAACAGCTCAAGGAAAAGGGGGGAACACCTCCACCCGAGACAGCCCCTCATCTTCCCTTGACCACTGACTCCACCTCCAGGAGCCTTTATAATTTAGGTTGCATTGAACCACTAAGGATAACTACAAACCGAGCTCAGGACTCATACCTTCTAAGTTCTGAATTCACCAGGTTCAAGTTCACACAAGTGCTTCTACTCAAACAGCTACACTCACTACCCACGGAAGTCACTCCGTGACATTGTCTAGGAGCTCCGTGAGCACTTGGCTAAACGTCAAAATAGCAGTTGGGTCGGAGATCATGTGGGAAACCTGAGCGGGTCAAGGATAGCCTTGTTTGTTTTAGCTGGGTACGAAGTCAGGGTCATGTATCCCATATTTCCTGTGAAAAGCAGACTTCAAGGCTAGAGGCAATGATGTTTCTCAGTGGTCAAAGGGTGTACTGTTGGGTCAGAAGAGGCTGATCTAAGGGGGGGTCACAAGGGACAGCTTGCGTCCTACACGTCGTGGGGACAGGCTAGCACATGTGTTATCAGATGATAATGTGTGACCCTGTGCCACAGTCACGTGGTGTCCAGTCATGGGGACACTGAATGACCCTTGGGCATGCAAGCTGCCCTGTTGTTGGAGGTGAGGGGGAAGGAGGACACAATACTTACAGAAATTTCCCATTTGTCTTGGATCCAATCAGGACGATTTGCTCAGATTCATCTCGAGAGATTTTCCCGTGGAACCAGGGCATCTTTTCATGTGCGGTGGTGGCGATCAGCTTCTCCAGTTGCGGCTTCTGACTGATGATGGCTTGCTCCAGAGCCTGGCCCTGCAGCAAGGGAGGGCAGTGAGTGAGCCAGGAGCAAACCAAAACGAGCACGGGGCAAGCATGGTGGCATAACAGTTACCCTGCCACCTGCACTGTGGGCATCCCATATGGGCACCAGTTGAATCCCGGCTGCTCTACTTCCTATCCATCTCTCTGGTAATGTGTCTGGGAAAACGACAGGACAGGTGGGACCTTGGAACCCTGTACCCACGTGGGAGTCCTGGATGAGTTCCTGGCTCCTGACTTCGGTTTGGCCCAGGCCCGGCTGTTGTGGCCATTTGTGGAGTAAACCAGCAGATAATTCTTTCTTTCCTCTCCCAATCCTTCTTTCCCTTCCTCCCCACTTTCTGCAACTTTGCCTTTCAGAAACAACAGCAACAACAAAACCAAAAAAAAAAAAAAAAGATGGACACAAGTCATGGAAAATCTTCCTTTCCACAAAAAAAAAAAAAAAAAAAAAAAAAAGAAAAAAGAAAAAGACAGCTGTAGAAATTATTTTCAGTCTGTTCTGGATCTTTATATGGCAAAATGGGATCAGATTTAGTTCACTGACCCATCCATCATCTACAGATTTATTAAATAAAACCTATAAGACTTTCATTTGAAGGTGCTTCAAAATTTTGTGGAAATGGAACTAAAAGATGCACTATTTTGATGCAAACTTTGGAAGATCACAAACAAGTTTTTCATAATATGTATTTTCCATGAACTTTTTGAAGATCCCTATTTTAAGCACCTTTAGTAAAAGAACAGAGGGCGGAATGAAAAGACTGGCCTGTCAAAGTCTTCTGAGCCCTATGTGGTATATACACCCTATGAGGTCTAGACGGCGGAATTCCTGCCTGCAGATCACAGCCACCCACCAGTCTGGCCATCCTGCATGGGGTCCTCTAGATGTGTGCAAGGAACGCACAGGCAGTTTCCTGTTGACACCTGCAAGGCTCCACTGAGCACACATCCCCACCCCCACACACATGCAGCTGCAAGACAGGCAAAACATCTTGGCCACGTGGACTTAACAATGTGGAAATTCAACATGGGAAAGGGGTTGGCAGCCAATTTCTTTATCCTTTCAGATGGGAGAGCTACAGATCTGCTCATTAACCACTGAGGGGCCAACATTTGATTACTTGCATTGAAAAACAGATGGACCATGAACAAATATAACCAGCCCAGACAGGAGTTGCAAGGAGGAGGGGAGAGAAAAAGGAGCAAAGGTGCTGTGATTCCAACTTATTCCACAAACAAAGAGGCAAACAGGGATGGCGAGGAGGGCACAGGGCACAGGGTGAACAGAGGCACAAGTGCAAGGCTGCACATGGTGAGCCAGACAGAACCCTGGCCATTGGCGACCACACTGCTAAACGGCAAGCATTCCACATTGTATGAAGGAGGCCGCTGCTGTGGAATTCCCTTCCCGTGACATTCCAGAAAAGGCAAAACCATGAGAACAGGAAGCAGATGAGCAGTTTCCAGGATCTGGGGTGGAGACGGGAGGAGGGGCTTGAAGATATGGGGGAGCTCCTGTTCCCCTCGGCAGTGTAGGGGTGTAGAGGTGAGGTGACTCTAAGCTATGGTAAAGATCATCCAACTGCACAGCCAAAGAGGATAAATTTCACTGCAAGCAAATCAGGCCCGCAAAATCTGACTTATCTGACATAAAGTAGAACCAAGGGGCAGACCAGAACATGCCCAACAAATGCATGTGAAAAATACTGAATACCATACGGCAGTATTCTTCAGCAGGGCTGAAATGAACACAGAAAGAGTAAACCAGTTCCTATACACTCCTCAGAGAGGCGACACTGTCATGAACCAACACGCACCCAACACACCACAAAGCATAAGGCAGACACTCGGGAGCACAAGGAGAAATGATTGAACACGTAGGACCAAGAAGAGGGCATCAATCCGACCTGCTGGCTCCTTACTCAGGAGTACAAATGCTCAAACTTCTGTCACCATTTTCGATGGAAACTTGTCAGCATGGCCACATTACTCACAGGTGAATACACCCTGGATCTGGATTGTGGGGTTGTGGCAAGCCCAGCTCTTTCAGGGTTTATCTAACAGACGCTATACATAAATTTAGTTCAAAAATGTCCATCAAGGGGGACTAGCTAAATAAATTTGGCACACAATAGCAGGCAGCTAAAGACAGGGTGATCAATGTGATTTTTTGAGTGTAGACATAGAAACATCTGCAAGAGATTTAGGGAGCTATACAACGTGGTGTCAACTTGTGGGTCTAGCATGACCTTTCTAAGTAAATAAATAACATTTGATGCCCATCAGTGACTCTCTAGAAGAGCCCACCATAAACTGAGTGTCAGGGCAGTGGTTTCCCGTGGTAGACACACCCACATGGCCAGCATGCAGGGCCCATCCTGCTGCGCTGTAGTTGGAAAAAGCGCAGTCCTCCTAAAGCATTGCTGACTAAGCAAACAGTTGTTACAAGACTGGCTCAACAGGTTTGCAGTAGACAAAAGTAAAAGACAATTTGGGTGCAAAGTATTTTAGCGTTTATGGATTTTTCACATGTCTGTTGAAATTGCCTATGTTGAAACAACAATGCGTGGATTTGCGCACTGTGCTATGGTTTTTCATGTGCATGGTTTGACAGGTATGGGATTACTACAAGGTACTACGAACAGAGGTGGCAGAGCCAACCATAGCCCACCTGCAGGTTCCACGTCTGCTTCACGTATTCCCTAATGAGGTTTTCCTTCAAGTCCTCGAAGGGTCCTGTCTTGGGCTCCACCCCGGGAGGCCGGTTGAAGGGTGTCTTAAGGAGGCAGACCAGGCCATCTGACTCCTGGGAGTGGTAGTGGCAGAGATCGGCAGGGCTGCTGTGCGTTCTGCCACCCGTGATGGCGTAGGTCCCATTGAGCTCCCTCTCGATGGTGTAATGGTGTGCCTTCCTCCCGTGGGCCACTGACAGGGCAAAGCCACCCAGGTAATTGCGACTCTGGCGCAGCAGGTAGAGCCCATCACTCATGCCTCCCTGGACCAGGTAGTCCTCAGCCTCCTCCCGGGTGATGTTTCCGAAGAAGAAGGGCAGGTGATTGGCGTTGTCAGATGTGTTGCTGGCCATGGCTGTGCTGGTCCCTTAGGTGATGAGAGGATACATGCAGGGGTCCACCTGGAGCAAGACAAAGATGGGTGTCAGCTTCTGGTACTATCATAAAATATTCAAGGAAGGCCGCTTTATGAAGAAATTTATGTTGGTTCCTGGTCTGGAGGCACCAAGGCCCAACAGCAGTGGCACAGGCTTTGGCACAGGTCCTCTGCATTGTACCACACCACAGTGGGAACACACATGCCCACTGCTCTCTCCATATCCTTCACTCTCCTTATCAAGCTGCTAGGATTCAAACTCTATAACCTAATCCTATCTGATCCTTCCCCAAAAGCTATACGTGGGAACACTACAGTTGAATCATGTTTCTACCCTCTTGCGTATCAGTAATGTATGACTTTGGGGATTAGGATCTGACATGAGAGTGGGGTGACAGAAACTCAACCCACAGTCATGGGAGGACTCCAGGGAGGAACCAAAGCAGTGAGGAGCATTGGTTAAAACCACATGGATCCTTTTAAACTAGGACCCTGATCAAGGCAGCTCAAAGTGAAAGCACCACCCCATGTTGAGCACACTGTGAGGAACCATGGCTGCACACACACCAAACTAGGTGCAAATCAAAGTGGCATGATCTGAGGGCAACCCTCTTCATCCAAGGACCTCTGCCCAGCCTCCCTCAACAAACTCATCTCCCTTGTACTCCTGCCCAAGGCCCAATTAACCTTGTCCGGTTGCATACTGACCTCTTGTCCATTTCTGTTTGCTTGGGGGCTAGGATCATTCTGTCCTAGCACATATCACCGTTTCAATACACTCTGAATCCTTTTTCAAAAGATTTATTTACGGGACTGGCTAATCCTCCACCTGCTGGCATCAGCATCCTATGTGGACACTGGTTCATGTCCTGGTTGCTCCACTTCCAATCCAGCTCCCTGCCTATGCCCTGGGAAAGTAGCAAAGGTTGGCCCAAGTCTTGCACCCACAGTGGAGGTCCAGAAAAAGCTTATTTCCCAGTTTCAGACCGGTCCAGCTGTGACCACAATGAGCCACATGAGGAATGAATTGGAGCACAGAAGTTCCCTCTGTCTTTCCCTCTCTCTGTGTAACTGACTTTCCAAGCAGAATTTTTAAATATATATTTTATATTAAATACAAATAATTTATAATGTTTATAATATTATATAATTTCTAATATATTTACGATATTATATATAATATTATATAATTCCAAATATATTTATATTGTATAATTTATTGTATTAACTTTTTATTTAACTGATTAAACTGTTTATTTAATTGGAAGGAAGAGTGATAGAGAAACATATCTTCCATGTGTTGGTTTGCTCCCCAAGTACCCACAAAGCCAAGGCCTAGGTCAGGCCCGAGCCCAGGAGCCAGGAATGCCACCTGGGTCACCCACATGGGTGGCAGAAATCCAAGCACTGCTGCCTCCCCAGCATAGAAGCAGGAAGCTGGACTGGAAGCAGAGATGGGACTCGATCCCAAGCACCCTGTATGGGATACAAGCAGCCCAAATGAGGCTTCACGTGCTATGCCACAACACCTGGCCGCCGAATCGTTAACCTAAATACACAGCATCTGACAGAAGTGACCAGACTGACCAGCTTTTTAAAAATGCATTTGGATAAAGTAAATTTAAGAAGAAACAGCAGAAAAGTCAACAGAAGCACCACAGCCAGACAGGACGCAGAACCAGCCCTCAAGGTCTGTTCTGCATGCAGAAGCCGGCGTGAGATGACAGCCACTGCTCCCCTGTGGGCACAGATGATCTGCACTGGATCACTGCTAGTGTGGCACAAATGACCCTGAGGCGTCCACTGCCCCAGGAGAGGCTGCTGCTCTGCGTGGCCACGTGGCGGCAGAACCCACAACAGCTCAAGTGAAGCCATGTAGAATTGCCACCTGTGGTCAGCACAAGGCCTTCCCGCTGCCAGCCTGGGCTGGGAGGACCAAGAGGCCAGTGCCTGAGACAGGGAAAGTGGTCTCCCTCCCAGCATGATGCCACCCCTCAGCCTGGGGCACCATGCTGCCTTCTGCCTACACATCTCCAGACCTCCTGCCGAACACTTCACTTCCTGTCTGCACAGCCGGGGTAGGGTTCCCACACACACACAAGGCAGCCTGGGGAGAAAGAAAACCTTGTCTTAGAAGAGAAACCCTCGGAGGCAGTCTGCCAAACCGGAGGATATGCACCACCTGGGCAACAGGTGGAGAGGCACACTGTAATCCAACGGGGCTGCTCATCACACAGTCACTCATGTGGTGCCTCCTGCTCACATGGGGACAAAGAGCATGGCCCCCTGTGTTACTCTGACCAATGCCTGGACCATACACAAACACATGCACATATTCTATATATATCACAAATGAATGCTGCATATACATAACATACCCACTACATACTACACATGCAAATACATATAGGCCAATACAGATTCATACTATACACATATAAATGTATACACACATTATACACACACATGCACAGGCACACATACCACAAACATACACACATACCATATACGGTACACATTACACACACATGTCCCCCAACACAGACACCAACAGACATACACACATTACATTCATCTCACCTGTCACCTATGCACCCTGCAATTCCCCATTACACACACACACCTGTCCTGCTCCCACCTCCCCTCCCCAGCCTAGGGGCCTATGACCCTCCACAGTCCATTCTGGACCCCATCCCCACCAGACAACCCCCTTTTAGTTTCCCAGGGAGGGGAAAGGTCATTCTGAGTTCTTGACAGCCCCACAGTGGCCAAGCAGCGCCCCTGACCGTGTGACTTCCTGTGCTGGGTGTGAAGACACTCCTCATCTCCATCACCAGTAGTTTGTACAGGGGGCCAGCACCCACCGTGTCACCAGGCTGTCTAATCTGGGGACTATGCACTGTCCCCTGTGCCCCCCTCAGGGCCAGCATCCCTGGCTTCACCCTCCTCTTCCTCAGACCCCCCTGGATAGGAGATGGTCACCTTCTTCTCAACCGCTGTTCACACTAGCCAGGGGCAGGGTGCTGTCTCCGGTTCATTTCTCAGAAGTGAGCGCCCATTTAGCGACAGCCGTGGCATATCCCAGCCCCCACCGTTCACAGCAGCTACGGAGCCAGTGCTGCTCTCCCAGAGTGTATCCTTCCTACAAGCCATGAACCTGCCATATGCCTGCCACCATCTCCACGCAGGCTGTCAAAGCAGCCTTGCTCTCCCAGCAGGGGAAACCCAAGGCTCAAATTCTGTTTAACACTCACTGCCTTCATTAGCCCCTGGGGAGGGTTTAGGGTCCATTCCCAAGTTTCGGATAATTCACATTTCCTGTGAATTTAGTACTCAGAAGTACTAAATAAACACACATTTTAAAAAGCCTATGGTCTCCACTAATCAGGTCCTCTACTGCTGGGGTAGGTGGAGGGAGGTGCTGGGGTCCATGCAGTGGGTGTGGATGACACGAAGGTGTCAAGAGAACCGCTCCCCTGCTGGCAAGGCCTGGCAGATGTCTCTCCAACCACCTCAAGGCAGTTTCACCCTCCCCCTCTGTTTGCATGGACACTGGGACACCCCACTGAGAACCTGTAATTATTGAAGCATTGTTTGCCCTTACAGCCAATGTCAGCTTGGGAGTTGATATTGCTGGTAACGTCTTGGTAAATGGGCCTTCACCAATTCACAGTCTCAGAGCTCAAGAATGTTTGTACTAATATTATAAAACATGCTTTGAGACTAATCTGGGGTTGTTAAACCAATGGTTGCAGTGGGAATCCATGCTTAAGGGTATTTTTTTTTTGTCTATGATCTTTAGGTTTTTCCTTCTGTGATGCATTTTCTGCTTTAGCTGATAAGATAAAGTTGTAAAATGAAGAAGGCAGTAGAAATGTGTTACTGATGGATACTGTCTACACTGTATTGAGAATTTCCTGACTGCAGGGTCAGAATGGTTAATATCTGCCTTAAAGAGAAACAAATGGCAGAATTATCTCTAGAAATACCCATTTGACCATGATGTAAAAAGTCTGTGCTAGAGTTTGTGACTGCTTCTGTATAAATAAAGGGGACAGCCTTCTTGCATTGTGCATTATGATCCTGAAATTGTATGGTCCATTTTTTCTCTTTACGCCAACTCTACTCACCCTTCTCGAGCTCGGAACTCTGCTGGAGCTGGCCTCCACCACTCTACCATCCTCTAACTGCACCTGTATCCCTCAGCTTGCTAGGTCTGACATATTGGCAAACACCAGCACTAGCAAGGAAAGCCTGTAGGTGCCAGGCAAGCTGCAGTCAATACAGTGACTCCTGGGCTCTCGTAGGGGTCTTGTTAGGCATGGTTTAAAAGTGCATGCAGTTCTGTAAAAATGGTTTGAACAAGAAGCAAGGGTTTATGACTCGTTGGGTTGCAGCTCTTCCTTCCTGTTTGTTTCCCACACAGCACATCTCTGAAGGATGGTCAGTCCTCAAACACACTACCTTTGCTATTAACTTTGAACATAGCTTCATTCCCCCAGAGATGACCAGTGTGCGGCTAAGACTGGGACAGACTTGGTTCACCACTGAAGCCCCATGCCTTGAGCAGCTTCAGATATGGGAGAGGTAGTCAACACAGGCCAGTGGATGTGCATTTTTCTCCACGAGCTCCTGTCTCATTCGATGCCACCACTTGGATGTCCAACAGGCAGCTCAAAGTGCAGGTACCCAATATGAAGCAATTACTTCCTCCTTTTAAAAAATATTTGTTTTTTATTTGAAATTCAATTATAGAGTGGGTGTGAAAGAAGGTCAAAGAGAGAGAGAGAGAGAGAATCTTTTACTCCACTTCACTCCATTCCGTACATGATAGCAATGACCGGGGCTGGACCAAGCCAAAGCTAGGAGCCTGAACTTCTGTCTGGGTGTCTCACATGGGTGCAGGTGCCCACGCACTTGGGTTTTTTTACTGCCTTCCTAGAAGCATGAGTGGGGAGCTGCATCCGAAGTGGAGCAGCCAGGAGCTCATATCAGAATGCCTGGATTGCAGGTGGCAGTTAAACC